GAATCAATAAATTCTACTTTAAATAAAGGAGTCCGGATTTCGAAATACGATCGCTAATATCTCGAGATGGGCTGATCAAAAATCAATGAATGTTAGTTCATTGGATTCGTCTAGTCGAGGGGAATTGAATGGTAGTTGTTTCATACGAATCGGTATGATATTGACCGATATCATACATCTTTTTTTTTTGTTTTTTTTTATATATAAAAAATCATGTGATATGAAGTAATTTTGACTATTTCGACTTTTCATTTCGGCTTTGACCTCCAAAGTCAAGACATTTCGACTTTTGGGTTTTCATTTCGACTTCATGTATAGATACAATGCTCTGAAACCAATAGAACACGATATAACAATTATATTTCTTTGTAATAGTATGCTAGAATTTGATTGTTAATTGATAAATCAAGAATTTGGTATCTGTCTCTGTTAAATCTAACCTCTTTAAGGTTATATTTAACATGGTTTTAATTTCAGTAATGAATCAGCTTTAGAATTAATTCTAGGATATCATGAAATATTATATGCATTTTAAGCTTGCATGATCAGGCTTAGCTCAAATTGCATTATTTCGTTCCTTAATTTTTGATGGCTTCTCTAGAGGCAAGCAGAATAGCATAAAAGTTATTATTTATATTATGTTTGCAATGTTAGACTAACTCAAATCACATTACTTCATTTCTTGATTTTTGATGAACCCTCCTGAGGCAAACAGAATAGTAATTTTTTTTTTGATATATTATTTGGAATTAAAATCAGACTAGAATGGCTATATTAAATAATGTAATTCTTGGTATCAAACAGGCTATTTCTTAGCTAAGTTCGATATCATCATCTAGATTTGAGTCAAATTGTGTTAGAGACTTAAATTCGATAATTTGACTCATATAGCTAAAATTGATTCGTAGGCAGTCAGAAAACTTACTAAACACTATTTGGAATTTTGTCTTAGAACCCCAAAGAGGTCTATATCTTACGTATACAATAATGTGCTCACGATATATAACAAAATATATGCAATGGTACTGTTGAAATTATAATAAAACTTAACTTAGAATCCTTACAAGGAATAGCTTTCAGCATAATAGGCGGAATCATCAATATTCAAATTAAAAAAGAAACTGCAACATTCACAATCGATGGAAAACTATCAAGTAGATGTCAGTTTTTCTTGCAAAATGCATTTGTACTTACTGTACATAAAATACAAGGTCTAACTTTACCAGAAATATCTTTAAACCATGATCAACAAATCTTCTCAGCCGGTCAAGCATATATTGCATTAAGCCAATGCTCCAAATGTTATAAAGTACATATTGCTTTACACCTTCTGCCTTTATTACAGATGAATCAATGATTAAAGAATACAAATGTCTAGAATTAAAAGCTGTGGCTCCATTACCTTTATAAATATTATTCATATCAAAATAATTTCATAAAAAATATTCCTTAATGAAATTCAATATAAAAACAAAAATATTTGTATATTAAATTATCATTTAGATATTAAAATTAATTTAAAAAAATATTAATTACTTATTAATTAGTAAAATTAATTTTATAACATAAGAATTTTGTACTGATTTTATAATAACAAATCAACATAAATAATGATTGAATATAAAATAAATATTTTTTAAAATATACATAATTAAAAAATAAATTATAAATTATAAATTCAACAAATAATTAAATAATAAATAAATACAAAATAATTAAATAAACAAATAGCACAATACTATCAACAATCGCAAATCAATTGACACCGAAAGATATTAAATCAACTCTAGAATTTAACATGATAAATACTAATAAGCAGGGGGGACGAAGTCCCCCCGTATATCGCTAACTCTAGTTGTATAAACTAAACTATAAAACTATCTAAAATTACCTCTCTTACGCAAATAGAAGGTAACAATACGATCATATATTTTATAAAACTACCGTACTGATCAGCCGAACCGTTTTCCTCCTCCCTGAAATGATCTTTGCGTTTGGGATATCCGAAATGCTCATTTCGGACAGGAATTTCGAGTACAACATTTATACGAAAACCCCAATGACTCCTTACATTCTATTATACTTAATTTGAATATTTGTGTTATCGATATCCATATTTACGACGATAATATAGCTTCAATTAATGGTATTGTTTGATTTTCTAAATTAAAATTTTTTATGTTCCTTAATTTTTACTTTTGTAAAAAAATACATTTATGATGGCATCCTTTTATTTAATGAAAAGATGATTCAGTCCATTGGAAGAGGCTGATAAACATTTATAAGAAGTAGTTGTATAGTAATTAATTGAAAAAAATTCTGAATGGTTAGAACAACATTTTGAAATTATTTGTAAAACAGCATTCAATCTAATAAGGTCCTTTAAATTTTTGTACAGCTTAAGTTATGGATCTAAATTTCATAATCAAATTTTTTTATATATTTATTCCTAATCCAGATATTTGTTATTTTATTAAATATCTATAGATTGAAAGCAAATAGATTCATGCGAAATAAATTTCTTAAAAAAAACTCACTTGACCTAATTCTTACACCAAAATATATTTTTTGTTTATCTACTCATAACGCTGCTGCCAAAACTTTCGTAAAATCAATAAAAAATTGTGCTCGATGAATAATATTGCATGAGTAGTAATAAAAAATTTTTGGATACGTTGCAAATAAAAATTAATTATGCTAAATTATCGTTATTCTATTTTACCTATGTGCATGAAATCGTTTGAGCCACAAAATCTGTGATAAGTTAGCTGCTTTAAAATAATGGTCCACTACGTGTAAGAAAGTAGCAACAATAAATAATAATTCACAATGTTTAATTGTGGCTTCGAGACTAAAGAAACCGTGATCATGGTTGTTGCGATGAATTTTATTTATTGAAACTTATTGAATGGACATTTAGTTGTGAAACAAACATTAATCCATAATTTGAGATTTAAAAAATATGTCAGCTCGGACTTAAAACATGTATTAAGTATCAGCTTAGCCAGTGTTTGAATTAATTTGATATTTACAATTAAAAACAATATTTTTATTTCCTAAAAAAGCTAAAAAATTTTCTTCAAGATTTATATTTGTGCGACGTTCATTAATAGGGCAACTATATCTATTTCCTCCCCGTATCAATTCTCTGTTAAATTTAACATTTTAGTTTAAAATATACGTATTTATTAATAATTTTTCTAATTTTATTGATACACGCTGCAAAATTAATACGAATTTGACAATCAGAGATAAATTTAACGAAATCAGATATCAGTTGGTAAAAAAATCAAAATGTCCAAGCTTTAAACTCATTTCAATTAAAAACACAATAGGAATTGTCTGCTCGATAAACCTTTTACAGTACAGTAATTTAATTTATTATAATATATTGACAATCAGTTGTTTTGTTCAGAGTTGGTTTTAAACCTTGTAAATTTTTTTTTGTTCTATAAATAGGAAAATTTTGTCTATAGAAAATATATAATCCAAGAGAAATAAATTCGATTATATTGATAAATAACGAAAAATAAAATATTTAATTAATTAATATTTTTAATCGAAGCTTTATCATAACTACTACCATCAACCGGGAAAGGTGTGCCAGTACCAAAAATGGAAGGGTCAGACTTGAGAGCGACATTAACTGCATATCTAGTTTCAGAAGTATATTGGTCGTCGATTGTGAATGGCATTTTTCCTTTTAAAAGGGAAGACTAATTTTTAAGATTAATTTTTAATTTTTTAAAAAAAATGATAATTAACTTGCATGAAATGCAAATTGCAACAACAACTTACTTCAGCGCTAAAGACTATTTGACAGGATCAACTTCATCGATAATAGAGGTTCTAAAAAGTTGATCAATAATCAAACGATTTATATTTAAATAGTAAAATATATTTGAAAAGCAGAATTTTTTGATTTCCATTTGTTTTTGTACTGTACTAACCTAACCATCAACGGTAAATCCTGCAGAATGCCAACTAGCGATTTGTTCAGAACCAATTGGCCAAGGACCTGAACCCGGACCCTCAGGAATAATCAGTTTAGGTCCACCACCGTGTGAGTAAACAAAAGTAACAAAGATCGCAATAACCAAAGCAATATTAATATATTTCATATTATTTATTTTGGTCGTTGAAAAACAAAAAAAAAGGTGAAAGAAAGCTTGTGTACGTCATTGCTTTTTTTTGCACATCATTTACATCTTACGCTGGTGTGGTGTGGCTTTTTGGAAAAAATCTGAATTTTTACCGACAAACCGGGCTTAGTGCCGGGGTTTTTTATTAAAATATTAGCAAATTTTCTTTATCGTCTAAGGCTAAAAAAGTACGGTTTGGGCAATTTGGGTATTTTCCGTATCTTTTTTTGGATTCGGATTAAAAAAAAAAATTAATATTAATATTTTGCTTAGTCATACATATAAATTAGATTAAATTTAATTATCTCAACCGTTTCCTGATAAGTAGGTTACAATAACAATATTTCGATAATTTTCAGGCTTGGTAGTGTAGAATCACAAATCACCTTTTTTTTGCAAGAAACAAAAAAAGCCATATTCTTGAATCCACATTCACGTTTTAAGACGAATTCGATTTTAGCGTTTACAAATACTGAAACACTATTTTGGTAATTCAGTAATATATTTAGAATACTGCAGAAAAGTAATCTGCTTTCGTCAGGTGGCTTACCCTATTATTTCAGTTTCAAAGAAAAATCTATACGTCGTTTCTTCGTTTTTTCATTAAAATAAAAATTTAAAATGTCATTTGCCATTGATCTCGTGTTGTAAAATAATTGAAAATTTTCCAAATACCGATTTTTTTTGATCTTACGGTACATACTATATGTCATGACTTAATTATACTGGCATGTGATACCATAGATTTCGCATTTATCGGAAAGAAAAATTGCACGTATTTATGCTACATTTATCTTTGTATAGAAACCTTAACAACTTCATTATTTGCTGTAAGATGTAACAGTGTTGGCAAATGACCTGAAATGACCCAAATGATCCAATGACTAGTCAAGGTCATTGGTCATTTCAAAAGTTCAAATGACCTACCTGGTCATTTAAATAATGAAATATTTTTTTATTTAAATCATTTAATTAAAAGAGCCAATATAAATGGGTGTTTCTAATGAATTATCAAATAAATTTTAATAAATCCACTTTAGCAGGGGCAATAAAATTAAAAGGTTCTTGTGTTTCCTTTCCTTATTTTCCATAAATGAAAAAGGAAGGCCATTTGATACGTAATGATAGATTTTCGAAATGCGATTCTTCCTGATAATGGGCTATAGTTAATAAGAAATGTTTGTTTGGTTGTGGTTAAGGCGGAAGTGTTAGTTTCACAGATTTGGAGTTATCAAATTCACTTTCAACATGAGAATATTGATAATGAGCGGACCGTAACCCGGATGGCGGCATCAAAGCATTAATTCGAGTATAGCCATAGCTGTTAGTCAAAAAAGTCGTGTTAATTATTTGTAATCCCGATTTAGAAACTTCAATAAAAAAAATATTGTGCTACTAAAATAATAATGTTGATCAACATGCCAACCCATTTATCATATCAATCATGACCATGCCTTGCCATCATCAACCGCAGTACAATTTTGATGGCTTTGGCTTAAATTTTATAATGTCTAATAAAAAATGTCGGCTACTCTATTTCAATTCGTTTAAATTATGTTCAGATATGGGTTATACCGAAGGCTTATTAAAATTTATTTTTTTCTTTTTAATTTTTACGGATTGCAAACAAATAAACATAGCCCCTAATAAACCTATATAATCCTTTGTTTTTTTGGTGATGGTTTTTATATTTTATAATATAATCTTCCATAATTTTCTTAATACCATCAAATTTTTATACCCGAAATGAGTAAAAATGTTTCTATCGACATGCCTCCACACAACGTTAATCTAATAAACGGTTCCATTAGTATGATTAATATCTCACCGAAAGAAAACTATCTTGCTACTTACGGTGAAGAAAATGAGACTTTTGTCGTTTGGAAGTGGAAGTGGAAAGATGAAGATAACAAAAACAAACTTATAGACAAAAGCATTGTTTTGAAAAACGAACCTGAACAAAAATATTTTTTTCTAAAAAGCGAACACAAATTGTTAGCAAGTCACAAGAATCAACTTAAAAGTATTACCCATATGTTTATCTCTGATAAAATGATACTTGCGTATATTGATGATCAATTTAAAATCAGTAAGTATAATGATTTTCGAGTTTTAAATTATTGATTAATGATTATTTCAATACCAATTTTAATTATTAGAAATCATCGATATGACTGGAGACACTCAAGAAATCGATCTGTATTTTAATTTTGATGCAATGAAAGTAAAATGTTGTAACTTCAACGAACAGGGAAAACTGACATTATTTTGTTCTGTCAAAAATTATAAAAAAGATAATAGCAATATTGTTTGTGTTTATTCAATCAAAAGAACACACAAAAAAAGCAAGTGTCGAAAGATTTACAAGATGCCTAAAGAAGCTGAAGTAATAAGCATATCAAATAATGATAAAATTTGGCTGCATTTAAATCACAATGTATATGAATGGAATCTTGAGAAGAAGCATACAAAAATTATAGTAAAGGATATAGATGAGGTAATGGATAATTTTAAAATTATGATCAGTTTAAATTAAAGTTATTACTTACATTTGTTATTCAATCAATTTAAACAGATTAACGCAGAGGATATTAGAATCGCTTATGATAAAGATTTTACTTGCCTGAAAACGAATAATGAGAAATTTTTTATTCATCCAAATGAACAGGAAATTCCTCAAGAACCATTAGATTTGAATGAAGGTAATATATTTTGGTTAAACTAAATTTTAATTTAATTAATCGAGTTAAAGTATTTTTTTTGAAATTTTCTCTCTAGGCGAACTGATAGATTATATGAAAGATCATCGATATTTGTTATTTTCTTTATTTGATCACGATCATCTTTGGGTTTGGAAATCTGATCACTATGCTATCGATTCTAATTATAGATTTGCTAATTTAGTCAATGAGCTGGATTCATCAGCGGAAGAAAAAAAAAAAGAGCTATTAAAACTTTCTGAATTAACACCAAACCAAAAAGATAATTTAAAAGAATGTCAATTAGATAAAGGTTCTATTATATGGAAAATTAAAATTGAAGGATTAGATAATATGAAGTTTAAAACTCCAAATAATGATACGATAAATTTTATTGACGAGATTTATACAATTTATTCTAAAGCAAAGGAAAATAATGATGAAATTCGTAAAACAAGTTACATAACAACATTCAAAAATTATATCAAAAAAGTAGAACTTGAAGCTGATGAAGCATTAATTAAAGGTTTTATTGAACGGCTAATAATAATTGATGAAGAATCAAAAGAAGAGAGAGATTGTAAAGAAAAAAATATTAAATTAAATATTAATGAATGGCTGACCAAACATGAAGAAGAGACAATTAAATTAGATATTAATAAACGGCTGACTATATTTGAAGAAGAGATATTCAAATTAGATTTAAAATCTGATGAAGCATTACCTAAAGATTTAAAAGAACGGGTTGAAAAGGAGGTTCATAAAAATTGGAAAAGAAAAATTGCAAAATTAATGAAGGACTTTACTATACGTATTACTAAATTTAAAAATTTAGCGAAAGATTCTGATAACTTTCAAATTAATATCGATATTGTAGAAAATAAATTGCAATGTAAAAAAGATTTGATTCGTTTATTTGGCGCAGATAAATTTTTAAGTAATGCAAAGGACCAAAAAGACAAATATGTCGATATCGGGATATTAGCTCTCAATTCATTAAATAATGATATTATTATTTTAACTGAAATTGGCATTTTTATATTCCATTTTGATGTTAAGAACTTAATTTTTTTGAATTATTATCATATACACTTGTATGAATCGGATTTATTTATCGAAAATATCCGTAAAACGCCCGGATACCCAAAAGTTGATGACAAAGATAGAACTAGTGATTATGATGAATTAATTTATGGATGGATGGCATATATTCAAAAGGACAATGAAACTTTTTTAAAATATCGTAGAGCACTATTTAATTATACGACTGAAAAACACGATACAGAATTACTTGATGAGATTTATAATAATTTTAAGGAGGATAAAGAATTCTTTTTAAAAAATGGTTCTGAATTATTAATGTCGGCGATTAGGATACAAGCTTCAAGCTTAATAGATAAGATTTATAATGTGTGTTTAGATCTGTTTATAAAAGATTTAAAAAACAATAAAGCATACTTAAGCATAATTAATGAATCAATGCCATTACTGGACAACCATTATCCAGAATATATCACAAGATATTCATCAGATACAAACATGATAATAGATTCTCCTGAATATAAAATCGAACAACTTAGTACATCTCATCTTAATCCATTTTCTAATATTGGTATAGTTAATTTATCGCCATCTATTGCTTGGACAAAATATACTAGTCTGGTCAATTATTATAGTAAAACACACACAATAATTTGGTTATCAGTGCAGATATACATTGCAATTCAATATGTAATCTTTTTTTTGACATTACCCATTTCTTTTCCTATATTTCTTCTTTTAAATAAGTTTCATATTATTAACGAATTTTATGTTGATGGGTTTTCTAAAAGTTTCTATAGATGCTATAATTATCTAAATGATCGTATCTTTCCGGAGAAATTGATGCCTACAATTACCTTTATTATTCCTTATATACAATTTGTTTGCTATCCGTCAGACTATAACAGGTGGTGGGGAATAATTAAGCCTAAACCTAGTCCATTTGTAGAAACAATAAATAGAGAAATATACAAATCATGGAATGGTGAAGCATTAATTAATTTCAAGTGGAATTCATATGGACGATATTATTATTCTATCATTTGGATATTTTTTGCTGCTTTTCTTGCATGCTTTACGGCTGCTTCAACATATTCCAAAAGAATTGACGAAGGTACTAAAAATAGACTTTTAATCGCCACAATTGTACTTGGATCTATTCACTTAAATTTCGAAATTCGTCAAGTATTATATGATCCTTTTAGATGGGTCTTGGATCCTTGGAACTGGTTTGGTAAGAATAATTTATTATTTTATTACAATTATTTCAATCGTCATCGGGTATCTGATATATTTTGTAACTCATTATTAAGATTTTGGAGCGTATTTAGTTCCTACCATTGCATCTATTATTTGGTTATCTTCCTCCGATGATAATAAACCCTACTTTTTGCTTTCAATTTCATGTCTTTTATTAGATTGTAAATTTTTATTGTTTTTTAGAGCGTTCGAAGCATTTGGCGTCTATTTTGTAATTATCATTAGTGTTGCGAAGAAAATAGGCTACTTTTTGATTATATTATTCATCATACTTTTGAGCTTTGCTCATGCCTTTTGGATTCTGTTACAACCAAGAGAAGATTTTGATATAAATGTACCACCATTAGATAACAATACTGATCCGAATAATCCTTGGAAATTAACTGATAAATATACACAATTTCTATCTGATGGGTCCAATAGAACATATGTTCAACAACCTGATAACAATACGAATATGTTTAGTGATTACAGAACTTCACTTTTATCAATGTATTTATATATGTCGGGTAAAATTTATTTCCTTTTATATTTTAAAACTAACTAAATTCAAAATATTAATTTATTAATTTTTTTTTAAATAGGCGATTCGAACGCTTTGCCCAACTGGGAATATAGAACTAATCCACAACTTACCATACTAATGGTCTTATTCTCTTTTTTAATTGCTGTGTATCTTATGAATTTGTTGATTGGATTACTCAGTAATGCTATTGAGGAAGATAATAATAGAGTTTCGTATTTGGTACAAAAAGCGAAGGTATTTATCTATAAAGTACTGCTATGTAATTTTTTTTTTTAATTCTGCATTCTCTTAATAATAAATATTTATGAATACAGATTTTGGCAGAAATCGAATTATTTTACTTATTTCCATATCAGAGACGTTGGAAAACCTGGTTCCCTGACGTAATGTAAGTCTTTTATTGCTGCTTTCTCAATTTTATTTAAAAATTTAGCTAATTTTATTATTTTATCTAGATATTATCATGCCAATGTTGAAGAAACACGTAGAGAAATTAAAAAACTAATTAACTATAAAGACTTTAATACTGATAAATTTTCAGATTTGAAGAAAAATTTGTTAAGCAAGATAAAACTTAATTATGTCATGGAAAATTTACAAGATGTTATAAATATTGAGGAAGAGTTTAAAAAAGCCTAAAAAATTCGTAATTATTTATGAACATGGACTTATTTAATATTCATCACAAATTTAATTTACAGCATATACTTTTATTCAAACTTTTGATTTTAGCAAGATAAAACAAATAATTAAAGTTCAAATTTTATATCGTTTTAAACGAAATAAATCACTTTTTTTAAGGGATATGCGTTTTGACCGAATGATTGATTAAATGAAATAATGAGCGAAACTATCAACCTTACTAATTAATTCCAATAACATGGCATGGCTTCTCTTGGAGATGAGAAGCATTGCGAAGTGAACTTTTTGCCAAAGAACTTTTTGAAAAAAAATATTCTTCCACCTAAACATAACATCGTGAAGTTAGATGTCAACTGCTCTTATGTAGTATATATTTTATAGGACAAAACATGGCGCCGCAATATTGGTAATTCAAATACAACAAATATTTGGTGTTAATTAGAACACCATTTAATTAGAACACCATCATCCAAATAAAAATGAAATTATTTTAATAAAACAACGAACATGTTGAACGAGTTTAGATGTGGTCTTAAAGTCGCGAGTGTATGTGTTCGAATTCCCGATGGCAATAAAAAAATAAATTTGAATTAATGTACTACCAAAGAACTTTAAAAATAATAAACTTTCAAATTTAATGCACTTTTTTCATATCTGTATAAAAATAATATTACCCTTAAAAATTCGAGTTTAAACAATAATCGGGGGTCGAACAATGATCGGCTAGTCCTGCAAATATTAACGGGGGTTCGAGTACGAATATTCTTCAAACGCGACCCGACCCGACCCTTACAGAGCACTGCTGTTATTATTAATTCTCAACAGGAGATAGATCATCACAACATCATTGCAGAGTTTGAGCAAAATCGTTGGCGACTTTCTATTCCGATCCTTAATGTGAACAAGTGTTATTAATTGTTTTTATTGAATTGGAATTGATTAAGTGGTTTCGATTTCGAAATCTAGGATCTGCATTTACTCTTCTTCACTTCTTTCATTATCAATTCCTATCCTTCTCCACTCTCTCACTCTTCCACTCTCTCTTTCTCGTCCTCTTGCTTGGTTTTTACATCTTTGCTTTATTTTTTTATAAGTAAAATTAATTTTTAAAAAAAATTGTCCCTAAGATGAGTGGATAAGAAGTGATAAACAAATTTTACAAGATTCCAGAAGTGTAAGGTGTGATAAATTTAGCGCTCAATATATATTTGACATATCCGTATGATTTTAATAGAAACCGCACACATGATCTCGTGATATTCATAAGATACTTCTTTACTAAAATCTGACATTTCATTTTTACTCGGTCAGCATTTACTTCCATTTTTTTCCGATTTTGAATTTAGGTCGACCTTTTAAATTTTAATCAATTCTTCCCATTCTTGAAATCTTTTTTTTTGAATGAATAATATAGTTGGCTAAATTAAAATGATCGAAAATGATCGAAATGAAATGACCTTATGAACAAATTGCTCAGTTCGAATGCGATTATATTATCATTTTTCTTAATAAAAGTCACATCAGACACTTCAGATGTGACGTTTTCTAATAAAGCCGCACCTGAACTGTCGGAGGCAGCTTTTATTATCACATCCGACAGTTCAGATATGACATGTATTATTATTTTTCATAATAAAAGTCGCCCGACAGTTCATAGGCGAATTTATTATTATTATTTTTAATAAAAGTCACCTTCAACACTTGGATGTGATTTTTCCTAATAAAGTCACACCTGAACTATCAGAGATGGTTTTTATTAAAGCAACTGAACTGTCAAAGTTAACATTTATTAGAAAAAATACTAAAAAAAATCACGTCTGAACTGTTATAATGATTTTTATTAGTATTTAATAATCTGAAATTTTGGATTAATCTGAAAATTTTTGGATCGGATCAAATTATTATCAGTTCAGTTTAGATTGATATTTTTTGGATTTATAATCCAAACTGAACTGAACTTAAAATTTCAGATCAAATCGGATTGGCCTCTAATCTGAACTGAACTGGAATTTTAGAGCTTTAATTATATAGTCCAAATAGCATAATATTATATTTATATAATTAGTGATACCTGACAAAATTATCTTTCTTAATATGACGAAATTGACGAAACTGAAATGACGAAACTAGTTTTTTATTAATGACGAAATTATTTTACTTAATTGCTAAAATTATATTTAACTTGATACCTTGAATTAAAATACATTAAAAAATACAATAATTTTATATTTATTTATATAAAAATATTAAAGAGACGAAACTTTTGACGAAATTACAATTTTTCAAAAAAGTGTTTAGTCAGGTATCACTATATATAATTCATATTTGGTAATGAATGCTGTTTTTTCCTTATCTTCCTCTGCAATTTTCACCTGCTAATATCCTGATGCTAGATCTATCAATGTGAACCATTAAAGACTATCAATAATTTTATGAATAAGTAGTAAGAGATATTTGTCATTTTTCATTACATCATTCAGCTATCTATAATTTATACAGAATCTTATTTTGACATTTTTCTTTTAACAAAAATGACTGGTAAAGTTCAAGATTATTAGATGGTCTAATGAATCCTTTCCTTTTTAAATCTGTTATCTATTTCCTTTTTAATTATTTCATTTTCTGCTAGTGATATGCAATAAGCTTTTTGGTAATTCCTCTTCTATATAAATATTATGTTTAAATATATTTGTCCTGCTAATTTCTCCTTCTTTGGTAATAACATCTTTGTAGGATTATAATGTTTATAGTATTTGTTCCCTTTATCTACCTTTTACTTCTTCAATTACAGTTTTTCTTTCTTTATCTATCAAGAGTGTTTGATCATTTTCTTTGATTTTGATTTTTGTAAACATCTTTCTTCTTTTCATTCTATCAAAACAGTAATATTTATCTTTCAATAGCATTTTAATGAATTCTTCTTCTTGATATACTGCTAGCATTTCTTCAAGTAATTCAAGATCTTTTAGTTCTAATCCAAAATTTGTTTCCTCATAAGATTCTTTCTTTTGTTTTGATTTTCTCTTGAATCTGATTTATTACCTACTTTATAAGAATATTCTCATAAATTAGCTGCCCGCTGATTGATTTTCTGACTTGATAGAACAGTTTTTTCTAATAGAAATCAATTCTTGCATTTACCTAAATGATCCATTCATTTCTTAGGATTACTATATAGGCTTTAAAATCCATAACTTTGGCTTTATTTTAATTAAAAATTTATAAATGATTCCCAATAGGGTTGTAATTTTTCTGCTTATTCCAATTAATGTTCTATCTGATAGACTATCAATTTCTAGATCAATTTCATCTAGGAAGCTTTTTAAGCTTTTTGATATTATATTTCTTACTATGCTTGTATCAATCATTATATTTGTCTTTTTTCTAACTATTTAACTATATGTATAATTATATTATGTTTTATAATAAATGTTACCTCTGATACTTCAGATGTGATTAAAGTTACTTGTCTAAACTCATTTTGGATTTGGCTAAATGTTTAAACCTTTAGTTTCGCTAAATTTTTACTAAGTGTTTAATATAGTTTTGTCATTTTTATAAGCTTTGAATTAGTTTTACCTTTTTCTGAATTTTGCAGATTTTTTAATAAGATTTTAATATAATTCAACCAAGTGTTATCTTTACCATTTAAACGTCTATCCAATTTCTTGATTTTGCCTAGTAACCTTAAGTGTGATTTTTCTTATAAAGCTGCTATGAACTATTAGAATAGCTTTTATTTAAAAAAAATACTAATAAAAGTCATATCCAAACTGTTAGAAGAATTTTATTAGTAATAAATGAAATTTTAGATTAATCTGAAAAGTTACAGTTTATATTAAATTATTCAAAAATTACATTTAGTTTTATTCAGATTTACATTTTTGGATTTATAATCTGAATAAAATTGAATGAAAAATATTAAATCAGATTAGATTGACCTCTAATCTGAACTGAACTAGAATTTTAAAAGTTAATTTCTGTCTTTCCAAATCTTCTCTCATTTAAATTAAATCTTTTTTTTTTTTTTTTTTTTTTTTTTTTTTTTTTTAAGTTGTGGCACTGCCAAAAAATTTATTAAATTTATAAAAAATAAAAAAAAAAGTAAATCTTAAAAATATATATATAATTACTAGCTATCCTGCGTGATTATATTTCAAACCCATTTGAAT